AAGAAAGCACAGACATAGACCTACATAAATACAGTCAAGTGATCTGCAACAAAGGAGCAAAGACAATACAATAAGTTCAGACAGTCTTTTCAAAAAACAGTGCTGGAACAACTGGACATCTGTATGCAAAAAAAAAAAAAAAAAGAATCTAGATGCAGACCTTATACCTTTCACAAAAACTCAACTGAAGGGGCACCTGGGTGGCTCAGTTGGTTAGGCATCCAACTTCGGCTCAGGTCATGATCTCATGGTTTGTGGGTTCGAGCCCTGCATCGGGCTCTGTGCTGACAGCTCAGATCCTGGAGCCTGCTTCTGATTCTGTGTCTCCCTCTCTCTCTGTTTCTCCCCTGCTCTCACTCTGTGTCTCTCTCTCTCAAAAATAAATAAAGATTAAAAGCAAAAAATTAAAAAAAATCAACTGAAAATAGGCAACAGAGCTAAATGTTAACATGCAAAACTATAAAACTCCTAGAAGATAATGTAGGAGAAAACCTAGATTATCTTGAGTATGGTAATGAGTTTTTAGATATAACACCAAAGGTACAGTCCATAAAAGAAATAATTGATACCTTGGAGTTTGTTAAAATTAAAAACTTCTAGTTGCAAAAGTAAGTACCAAGAGAATGAGAAGCCACAGACTGGGATAAAATATTTGCAAAAGACACATCCAATAAAGAATTATTATCCAAAATATACAAAGAACCCTTAACATACAATAGTGAGAAAGCAAACAATCCAGTTAAAAAATGGGCCATAGACCTTAACAGACCTCTCCCAAAGAAGGTATACGGATGGCAAATAAGTGTATGAAAAGATGTTTCACATCATCATTGCAGGGAAATGCAAATTAAAACAATAATGAGATACCACTGCACACCTATTAGAATGGCCAAAATTTAGAACATTGACAGCATCAAATGCTGACAAGGATGTGGAGCAATTGGAATTCTCATTTATTGTTAACAAGAATGCAAAATGGTACAGCCACTTTAGAAGAGAGCTTGACATTCTCTTACAAAACTAAACATACTCAGCATATGATCCAGCAGTCATGTTCTGTGGTATTTACCCTACATAAAAACCTGTACATTGTTGTTTATAGCAGCTTTATTTACAGTTGGCCAAACTTGGAAGCTACCAGGATTTCCTTCAGTAGGTGAATGGATAAATGAAATGTGGTACATTCACACAATGGAATATTACTCAGTGCTAAAAAGAAATGAGCTATCAAGTCATGAAAAGACATGAAGAAATCTTAAATACATATTATTAAGTGAAGGAAGCCCATCTGAAAAAGTTATGTAGTGTATGATTTTAACTATACAACATTCTGGAAAAAGGCAAAATTACAGAGTCAGTAATAACAGTAAAGACATCTGTGGTTGCTAGGGGTTGGAGGATAAATAAGCAGAGCACAGAATTTTTAAAGCAATGAAAATATATGATACCATAATGATTAATGCATATCATTATATATTTGTCAAAATCCATAAAGGTACAATACCAAAAATGAACTGTAAGATAAATTATGTGGATAATAATGATGTGTCAATGTAGTTACAACAAATGTACCCCTCTGGTGGGGGACTTTGATAATGGGTAGGCTATGCATATCTAAAGACAGAGAGTATATGAGAAATCTATGTACCTTTCCCTCAGTTTTACTGTGAACCTAAAACTACTCTAAAAAAGTAGTCTCAGGGCTCCTAGGTGGCTCAGTCCCTTAAATGTCCAACTTTAGCTCAGGTCATGATCTCATGGTTTGTGAGTTCTAGCCCCACATCGGGCTATGTGCTGACAGCGAGGAGCCTGCTTAGGATTCTCTGTCTCCTGCTCTCTCTGCCCCTTCCACCCCCCTCAAAATAAATAAACTTAAAAAAAAATTATAAAAAATAAAGTCTTAAGGCTCCTGGCTGGCTCCGTCAGTGGGAGCATGCAACTCTTGGACTGGGGTTGTGAGTTTGAGCCCCATGTTAGGTGCAGAGATAACTTAAATATATATATATATATATATATATATATATATATATATTTTTTTATTTTTTTTTAAAGTAAAGCCTTAACTAAAAGAAAAAAGTTGATACCTTTAATCCAATATTTCACTTCTAGGACTCAATTGTAAATGAAATATTCACAAACATGGGCAAGATTTATATAGAAAAAAATTTATTACAGTTCTATGCAGTTAATAAAAATGGGAAATAAATCAAATATTCAGTAAGAAATTGTGATACAGGAGCACCTGGCTGGCTCAGTTGGTTAAGCATCCAACTTTGGCTCAGGTCATGATCTCGCAGTTGGTAGGTTCAAGCCACACTTCAGGCTCTACACTGATGGTGTAGAATCTGCTTGGGATTCTCTTTCTCTCTCTCTCTCTCTCTCTCTCTCTCTCCCTCAAAATAAATAAATAATATTTAAAAAATAAATTATGGTACATTCATTTGATGAAATAGTGTGTAGCATTTAAAATAATGTTTTTTTAGTATTTATTATTTTTGATAGAGAAAGCATGTGCAAGTAGGGTAGGGGCAGAGAGAGAGGGGGACAGAGGATCCAAAGCAGGTTCCACACTGAGAGCAGCCAGTCCGATGTGGGGCTCAAACTCATGAACCATGAGATCATGACCTGAGCCGAAGTCCAACACTCAAGTGATTAAGCTACCCAGGTGCCCCTAAAGTAATGTTTTTAAATAACCCTAATGGAGGGTAAAATTTTCACAAGGTTATTTTAAATGAAAATCAGGATACAATTACAATTGTACAATTGTAGACAATTGTGTATGTGTATGTGTGTGTGCGTGTATTCCTTGTCTTAGTTCATTCAGGATGCTATAACAAACTACTATAGACTGTGTGGCTTATTAACAACAGAAATTTATTTCTCACAGTTTCAGAGGTGGGGAAGTGCAAGATCACCATGGATCACTAGATTCCATGTCTGGTGAAGATTCACACACAGCAGTCTTCTCCGTGTATCCTTACATGGCAGAAGGGTCAGGGAGTTCTCTGAAGTTTCTTTTATAAGAGTGCTCCTTCCATTCATGAGGACTTCATGACCTAATCACTTCCCAGAGGCTTTACCTCCAAATACCATCAATTGGAGATTAGGTTTCACCATATGAATTTGGGGGGTGACACAAACATTTACGTATGACAGTCTTAGTTTAATGATAAAAAGAAAAAAGACTGGAAGAAAACAGGAATATTAATCAGAATTTTTTTTAATTTTTAAAAATGTTTCTATTTATTTTCCAGAGACAGCACAAGCAGTTGAGGAGCAGAGAGAGGGAGACATAGAATCTGAAGCAGGCTTCAAATTCTGAGCTGTCAGCGGAGTCCATCACCGAGTTCGAACTGGTGAACCACGAGATCATGACCTGAGCGGAAGTTGGACACATAACTGACTGAGCCACCCAAGTGCCCTTAATCATAGTTTTCTTTGGATGGTAGGAGTATGGATGGCTTTTATTCCTTTCTGTTTCTACATTTTTCAAGTTTTCTAAAATAAACATTTTATTTCTTTTTAAAAACAGTGGAAATAGATTAAAGCAGTACATGAGAAGTGGGAGAAATTACCAGTGATTCTGAACATCCCAGGAAGTTTTTCCTAAAATCTACTTGGGCTAAACCCAGATGGCCTCCTACCTTTCATTATCATGTTAAACAGAACTGGGCAGCCATTCCAGCTTTGTCACTTCTCTAGCTGAATACCCTTACACAAGCAAGAAACTTACTTTTTGTGCTTTTATGTTCTTAATTTATAAAACAGTGATGTAAAATCTCACAAGTTGACAGGAGGATTAAATGAAATAACCCATGAAAAGTCCAGGAACATTGTCAGAGCTCAGTAAAAATGTATTCCCTCCCTTATTCTAGAACTAGAGCAAAACACCTGCAGATCTATGGGTGGAATGGACACAGATGCAGAGTTGTGTGATGAATGAGAGACTCGCGATAACAAGCAGGGACCACCTCTACACTACAACCCCTGAATCTGTCAGTTCCACTCCTCATAATAATGATTATGGAAATAAGGGAAACACTAATTAATGAGGTAGACAATGATGTGATTAAGGGATACCCTTTGGACAAGCAAGAGCCCCTTCTCAAAGTCATCAGGCAAGGGTCAGACCTCTTCTGAGAGTTCTGGCTGGAGTCAATCTGCTTTTGACCACATAGCTGAGAAGGATATCATACTGAAGCCAATGATCCTTGAAGACGAAATAATCTTTAAGGCTTCTTCCTGCTCTGATTATAAAGCTATAATCATAATAAGCAAATCCTGATAGGAATTTATTTAAATCTATCCTGTCCTCCATCTTTTAGTGCTTGGCAGATTTCTTTCAAGTTCCGTGGGCCATGACAATCCAGGGGGAGTCATTTGGAAGTGTGAAAGATGATTCTTTAGACTCCAACAGCAGGAGCCCTTCTCAGAAAAAGGACCCTTAAGAGGCCTCTTGCAACTGCACACTTCCCCCAGGGAGCCATGCGGGATTCCCTAGGGCAAGGAACATCAAAATAGCACTGGAATTTCCAAGCCTTAAAATGCTAGGGTGTGTGTTGAGATAGGGATCAGGGAGGGATGGAGGGAGGGAGGGAAAGAATCCCAGAAGAGGGAGGGTTTGGTTTTGGTTTTGGTTTGAAGCTGAAGAACAGACATTCTGGATAGTACCATCCAGGAACTCCACTTCTCTTAGCTCTCTTGTGGCTCAACAGATCCCAGGACAGTCTAGCACGTCATCACTCATCTGTTACCTCTTCTCCACTGCCTTCCCCAGCCACCGTCAAGTCGGCTGCTCCTGATCACCATAGCAACCGTGACGAGCCAGCATCCAGCTCTGCTGCACGGACTTCTCCAACCCCAGCTGAGATGCAGCGGTGAGGACAAGGAGCGAGCGGCAGACACCCAGGATCTCATTCCTTCCTCGTTGCCTCGACTGTTAATCCCTGTACCCTGAGAGAGAATTGCAGCGAAGGGACAAGGGGGAGAAGAGGCTGTACCTTGGAGACTCCCGATGCTAACCTCCGGTGGGTGGTCCAGCGGGAAGGTGGAGTGTGCAGCACTTAACGATGTGCGCAGCCATAGCAGCCGCACCTGCATACTGAGGACGGACTGACGGTGGAGAGCCAGCATTTATTACGTATCGAGGAGATGCCCTTTGAAGCTCTAACCGGTGAGTACCATCAAGTCTTCCTTTGGGTGAACAAATCTCCCCAATGACAAGGTTGTATGTCTTGATTGCTGCCTTAAAAAAAAAAATCACATCTTTAAATTGCTTATGATTGGGAAGCATTTTCCCTTCTGACATCTTTGGGTTTCTTGGAATTATTATTTCGTCTCCCTTTAAATGCACGACTCTCTTAACCAGTGGGAGTTACACTCCAGTCTCAGTGTCTCCATTACCACACAATACCCCACTGGTGCCAATACCAAGCATCACAAATAAACGCTCCAAAACCTCTCAGAGAAGGAGCCGGGCTCAGTTTCCCAGCACTTTCATCCAATATGCTTTGTGTTTCTTTCCTACAATCAAAGAAATAACCCAGACAAACCAGTGGTATGCCAGATGTCAGAGGAATAAATGCCAGGAAGTCCTTGTCGAAACCTCGTCCTTTCTGGTGAGCTCAAGGAAACGAATCCATTACCTCAGCCTGAAGAAACAATTGTTACGCGAGGAGAGAATTCTACTTTGTTCCAGCAGAGGGCGCTAGCGCTTGCCTACACAGCTAAGTATACAGCCACAGCTAAAATAGGCACATACACGCATGTACCGGGAGGCTGCGCGGGATGCAGCACACTACTTCTCTTGGAGATTTTTAACAAAAGGATGGTCAAGTTCATTCCTTCCAGGTAGCAAAGGGAAGTGTCGAATGGCTTCTAGGGGACTGCATCTTGTTTCAGAATCGAATGATTACAATTCCATAGCAAAATACTTTGTGTGTATGAAGTCCTTTCCTTGCTAGCCAACCCATCTCGTTCCTCTCCCCACCCCCACCCCCCAAGAAAGCTTTCTTATTGGTCTAGCACTGTGATCAACTATTTAGAGTTTTTAATTGTTGTAAAGATTCCTTTCAGGGCGCCCGGGTGGCTCAGTTAAGCTTCCGACTCTTGGTTTCGTCTCAGGTCATGATCTCACGGTTTGTGAGCTTGAGCCCCACATCGGGCTCCATGCTGAAAGTGCAGAGCCTGCTTGGGATTCTCTCTCTCTCTCTCTCTCTCTCTCTCTCTGCCTCTCTCTCTCTCTCTCTCTCTCTCTCTTTCTTTCTCACAAAAATAAATAAATAAACTTTAAAAAACATAACAAAAAAAGATTCCTTTCACAGGAAAGGCAAAATCTTGCTAAAATGAAAGATAAACAGAAGGCTGAACTGCTGGGTCCCTGCAATACTATTCAGTGGTCCTCAATCCTGAATGCATGTTGAAACACCTGGGGAGCTTACAAAAATACTGATGCCTGGGTCCCATCTCCTGAGATTCTGACTTAATTGATCTGGGATACAGCCTAGACAGTAGGATTTTTTAAAGCTCCCAGGTGAACCTAATGAATGAAATTTGCAATCCACCATTCCAATGGATTAGGATGACATTTTCCCAGTTGAACTTGATAGTTAAACTAAGCTTCTTAAATAAGGTGCTGCTGTAGGGCAGGGTATACAATTGTTGTGAATGCCTAGAAGCTCAAGTGAAGACAGATGGCAGGGATCCAGATGCTTCAAAGAGGCTCAGGATGAAGGTGATATTTCAGAGGAGGGAGGAAGCATCTCTCCACAATAGGTTTTCTCACTAAATGTAATGTTCTGATTTATACTCCAGTGCAAGGGGAAAAAGAGATGTGTGCCTTTGCAAGTCTATAGGGTGAAAGCCATGGCTCCCTGTAGATTTATAGATTTCACATCTGTTAGTACTAGCCAGAGTCACATGTGTAAATCTTCCACCCACTGCAAGGAGAACGGACATAGAAAGTACAGGAGGGGTTAGGAATGCAATGGTCACTCTAAAGAAGGGAAAAGCAACAACAAAATCACCTAAGAATTATAAAGCATTATCCTTCTCAGGTCAAACTCCTGAATGGTTTGAACTCCTCCAAGCTTAGGGGAAATCCTAAAATCTTAGTTTCCCTGAAAATTCAGGCACCAGGGTAAGCTCTCTACAAGTACTATTGCAGCCTGGCAAGCAAACCTTGTTGTGGGATGTTCTTCCAATGCTCACATTCTAATATTATCTCATGAATATTCATAAGTGCTGTAAAGCAGGTGGGAGGCAGAAACTACACAGCAATACCTAAGGTGCTCAAGGAAATGAGGTAAGGCCTCAAAACTCTGGGAATGAGAAGTTAGAATTTTAAATACACTATTAAGCATCATCTACCAAACTAGAACCAGAAATTCATCCATCACAGCTGCCTTATACTCTTTAATTTTGGTTAAATAGAGAAATAGTTATGGTCTCCTTGAGGAATAGGTATGAAAGTACTGTATCTTCTGAAACCCTCAGCATGGCTCAGTCATTCACCTAATAAATAGGCAAGAGAATTAAGATGCTGTTTAAAGATCATACAAGCTACCTAATGTGGATCACAAAACATTATGTGCCAGGGCCACTGAGTGAGTGGCTGGGAGGTATTTCCTGATTACAGAATGATCATAGCTCTCCCACACTGCTACACAGGACTATTTGTCTCTGCATTCTCAGGCTCTGACCTAGACAAGCAAGCCCTTTCTTGGTGCCTCTCTCTAAACAACCCAAGATAGTTATAACAGCCTCCATCCTTCCCTTTAGTCATTGTTTTTCCAACCTGTGCACAGCCACACACACACTATTTTGTCTCCTCATGGAGTCCACCTCACCTCCTGAGACAATGCCTTCACTTACCCAGCATGGGCCTTGCACAGGCTTTCCCCAGCATTCACTTGGCAAAGCTGGGCCATAGGCATGCTTCACCTGGACTGCTCTTAGCTCTCAGATGAACTGGAGCTGCTTTCGACTAATTCCACATGAAAGATGGCTCATGGTGGCTTCTGCTACCCCAAACCCAAAGACCCTGTACCAACAGGCCACCTCAGAGCTGACCCACCTCACAGGGCAGGCTAGGCCAACCCTGTGAAGGCTGCCAGTCCACTGGATGGCTACACTGGGACGAGCAAAACCATGCCCCTCTCTACTGTGACCACCAAAATCTAGTCTATGAAAAGGAGCAATTTGCTTCAACATGCCCCTGGAAGAAAATGTCCAATCTGACCCGGTTTAATCCATGTATATCCATTCATCTGCAGGTGTCACCCAAGCGTAAAGTGCAAATACCTAACAGGAATGTGATGCATTAATAAAATCCTATTTTATACTTTTTCAGACTCATCAGTGGGTCATGAAATCAGTTTGGTGGGTCATGGCCAGCATTTGAAAAAGAAAACACAATAGAATAGAATAGAAAATATCAGAGTGCATCCCCTGCAGTGAGTGGAAGCTTTGTTTCCCAAAACATGTGTTTCAGTTTTATCTCTGTGTATATCTGTTTGTGTGTACTTAGTCATGACGTAAAATGTATTTCTTATTGTGGGTCACATCCAAGAAAGTTTTAAAGTCTTTGCCTTACTGCAACACTGGCCAACACTAAAGTTGAATCAAATTAAATATTAAAAAGTCAAATTCTAGAACAGCTAGCAAAAAAAAAAAAAATAGAATTCAATCTATTTTATATCTATGGATTATTTTGAATCAATAATCATGGATTATTTGAATCAATCCATGGGGGAGAGAACTGTTCATTCAAATTTAAATTTAAAATTTGACAGAAAATGAATACAGTGGGGGAAATATTTGCATTTTATATTATAGATTAAAAGTTAATGTCTTTAGGGGTGCCTGAGTGGCTCAATCAGTTGAGCATCCAACTCTGAATTTTGGCTCAGGTCTTGATTCCAGGGTCATGGGATCGAGCCCTACATCAGGCTCGGTGCTGAGTATGGAGCCTGCTTAAGATTCTCTCTCTCTCTCTCTCTCTCTCTCTCTCTCCTCTGCTCACACATGCAGAGAGAGAGAGAGAGAGAGAGAGAGAGAGAAAGAGAGAGAGAGAGGTGGGGTGTTGAAAAGGGAGAAGCAGAAAAAGTTAAGCATTGACTTAGGCTTTTTGAAGTCTCATTTCTTTTTTTTTTTTTTTAATTTTTTTTTTCAACGTTTATTTATTTTTGGGACAGAGAGAGACAGAGCATGAACGGGCGAGGGGCAGAGAGAGAGGGAGACACAGAATCGGAAACAGGCTCCAGGCTCTGAGCCATCAGCGCAGAGCCCGACGTGGGGCTCGAACTCACAAACCGCGAGATCGTGACCTGGCTGAAGTCGGACGCTTAACCGACTGCGCCACCCAGGCGCCCCCTGAAGTCTCATTTCTAAAAAGCTCTTTATCCCAGGTGTGGTGGTACAAGAAACTGAGTGACAATTACAACTTCTGTTCTTCCTGTTGCTCTCTTACATTGAACCAAACCTTTAATGAAGTAGTTTGAATACTACCAAAAACATTCTTCAGAATTAAAAAAAAACACACACTATACACTATGATTCCATTTTCATGACATTCTGGAAAAGACAAAACTATAGAGAAAAAAATAAAGATTAACAATTTCCAGGAGCTGGAGGTGTGAGGGAGAAGTTGATTACAAAGGGGAACAAGGAAAGTTCAGGGATAAAAGAACTATTTTATAACAGCATGTACTTGTTAAAAGCCAGAACTCTCCACTAAAAACAGTAAATTTTATAATATGTAAATTATACCTCCATAAACCTGACTGGGGGGAAAAAAACCTCCATGGATAAATTCAGCGTCCATAAAAAGAAATTCACTCACATGAGGAAACAAATGAGCAAACACACAAATATGTGTTTATTTTGACAACAATCAAAAGTGCAAATTATAACAACACTGTGATACTGTTTTCCTTTTTGCTAACAATTAACAAATTTAAAAAATAACATAATGCTATTTAGAGTGCAATAGGTAAAATTTGGGGGGAATACAACATGCCAGTGTATAGGAAAAGTCCTAGAAGTACTATATTCTAGAATTTTTCCCAACAAAGTTATTTAATAAAGATTTTTGAAATTCCAAATGCATGAAAGATATCTTCTACTGTGTTAGATTTAATAGGAAAAAAATAGAAAAAGCTGAAAAGTCTAACATTAGAGGAATAGTGGGAAAATGTGTGGTACATCAACACAATGGAATACTTTGCATTCATAACAAAAGCTTAAATCCAGAGACATGTACAAAGAAACATGGAAAAGATTTGATTAAATGGACAACAAAACATAAAATAACAAGCATACCACATTTGTGCCATTAAGTAATGTGTGTGCACCTGGAAGACACAATATTCACATGCAAGTTGCTATGCTAAAATAATGTATTATAGATGATTTTTAAGTTTTAAAAATTCACTTGCTGTTGTATATTGCCATTTCAATAACAAAGAACCCTCAAAACCTTCACGATCGAAAGAAATGAATGTGAAGAAGAAAAGAAATCCCACATATTATCATATCACAGTTTTGTTTTCTTGGCCCTAGAAACCAGAAGAATCATGAGAGTCATGATTATGTTGAATAAGTTCAAGCTGTATGGATTTTCTTTCATTCTTGTTATGAGCTAATGTCTATTTGGGTAAATTCCTTGCTTATGGCAGGCAGTTTATAAATACTTGTTAACTGACTGACTAAATAGGTCTTTTAGTTGTGTTTTTCACAATCCTAGAAAAACCTGAATTTATCTCTGCAGAAGCATCAGAAATCTCAGTACAAATAACACTTTGCCCTTATCTGTATATTTTTAAAGGAATTTAATTTTTAAAATATTTTTTTCACTTTTTGAATGTTTATTTTTGAGAGAGACAGAGACAGAATGTGAGTGGGTTAGGGGCAGAGAGAGAGGGAGACAGAATCGGAAGCAGGCTCCAGGCTCCAAGCTGTCAGCACAGAGCCCAACGCAGGGCTTGAACTCACAAGCTATGAGATCATGACCTGAGCTAAAGTTGGATGCTCAATCGACTGAGCCACCCACGTGCCCCTGGGGACT